GCATTCAGAACACATTACAGTGTGCCAGAACAAAGAATGTAAGAGGGCTTTTAACTACTCAGTACTGTAGAACTGTATTTTTCAGGAATTGTCATTATTTGTTATGCGTTTTGCCCCTAAGTATTTAGAATTAAATAGGGATGTCAATACATCTGAAGACTCAATGAATTCATTAGAAGCATTTTCCCCACTTGAGACAGAATCTCAAATGTACATTAACAAAGAAAATAATTGCATCTCCATTTGTCACCCACAGTGGAGACAAACCTATAAGAAAGTCTAACTTGGTTATTCATAAAGAAACCATCAGTGGAAAATAACTGATTTTTTTAATCCAGAAAAAAAGAAAACCAAGAAGGCTGTATAGAAAGCTTTGCACCAAGCATTGATTGGACACAATCAGAAATTTCACTTTAGGATAAGAGCATGTTGAGATTCCACCAACAAAACAGGTTCAGTTTGGGTCAGTTCAAGATTTGGATGCAGAACTCAGGGTAGCATGGGAAACTGGGATAGGTGACTACTAGAATCTCTTAAGAACATACATAAGAATGACCATATTGGGTCAGACCAAAGGTCCATTTAGCCCAGTATCCTGTCTGCCAACAGTGGCCAATACCAGATACCCCAGAGGGAGGGATCACAACAGGTAATGCCCATGTCATCCTCCCCTGTCATCCACTTCCAGAGAAACAGAGGCTAGGGACACCATTCCTACCCATCCTGGCTAATAGCCATTGATGGACCTAACCTCCATGAATCTATCTAGCTCTTTTTTGAACCCTGTTAAAGTTCTAGCCTTCACTGCATCCTCTGGCAAGGAGTTCCACAGATTGACTGTGCACTGAGTGAAGAAAAAAATCTCCCCTGTGACTAGTAGTTCACCAGTTCCCAGCCCTGGTACAAGAGAGAAGGATCTTCATTAACATGCTGCTGAAATGATCTCTGAATTTGGGAGAGAAAAAATTGTCTTTAGTATACACATGTCCCCACAATGAAGTGAGAATTTGAGCGCATCCACGATGTTTCACTCATCTTTGTCACATCTTTGTCCCAATTCAAGTTATGCTTTTACCACTACAACGTGCGAATAGGTAGCTGCGGATTCATATGGCTGGGAGAGGCTAGAAGTTTTTCTATGCTTTAGCTATCTCAGATTCCTAGGGCACAGATCCAGAAAGTGTAACTTCAAGCCGCCGTATGTTGGGAGAAGAGCTGGTTTGGCCAGTGGTCATCTCTGGACTTAGGGAAGATGGAGAGATCTCTTGTAGCCGTGATTCACCCCACACTTCCATCCCAGCTGCACTGAGTATGAATTTGGTGAGGCTTAGCCTTCAGCACAGCAATGGGTGTGATTGTTTTAATAGATTTCTCTGTATTCCTATTTACTTCACTTTCCATCTGCCCTAATTCCAACTAGGGTATGACTATGGACATTGGTTGTCCAAACCCATATTCTGGTTGGCCATGTGTGCTGATCAAATTGCTATATGCCTGTGCCCCAAATCCTAGTAGTACATAGGCAGAAACTCCATCATGGAGAAGACTGAAGAGGATAAGGGGGGGGAAAGATAACTGGTAACAAATATAGCAGAAGGAGGTTTAACCCACTGGTCAATGATTCCCTATCGGGGCCCATTCCACAGAAAATGTGAGCCTGTTGCTATATAACGACCTCCATCTAGTTCACAGCAGGGTTTGAACTGAAGATCTCCAGAGCTAATGGCACAAATCTCTATAGTTTGTGGTATAAGAGCCAGGCTAACAGGTATCTGTAACTGACAGCCTCTGTGTGTTGAAAACTGACATGGACACATCACATATGCTGAGTGGTGGCTTATGCACTTCCCTCTCCTGTTTTGAGTATCTGAGGCTTATAGCAGTTCAAGTCCCAGAAATGGGGGCTGTCACACAGACAGGGTGGGAATGGAGCGCTGAAAAGAGGAGGGAGATGAAGAAAACATCCCAGACTCTCAAAGACCCAAACTTGCCCTTCCAATAGGAGCTGGTGATCCTTCAGCTACTTTTATCTCTCTTCCAATTATAAACACTACACAGAAGACAGTTAAATACACCCAGCTTAGGGGTTTATAATAGAAAATGCATCGAAGGTGCTTGTTGGGCCACAATCAACTGATGAAAAACTGTCTGAGGAGCAAGAAGGAACAGCCCAGGAAACTTAAAAAAGCAAAAACGGGGAGAAAAAACCCACTGGGGAGAAATGAACAGCTTGTTAAAATTGAAATAGCTCTGTGTGTGAAAGAGAGAGAGATGCATTTCCAGTTCCCTCAGCAACTATATGTGCATAAAAAAGGACTATTTTTTGGTTGTTGTCAGTATAATTGGCTTATTTTGAGGTGCTTTTGCTGCTCACGCTGTGTAGACCTGACTGGGGGATTACAGGGTCTGAGGCAGACACAGGCGTTAAGTGTGTGTTGGGGAGAGAGGTGACTTGTTCTGAACTCTCACTGCGCCACAGTGCCTAGGAGCTTTGAGTCTGGGACTTTTATTGGTATCCCTGAGGGGACAGACATCCTGGGAAGTGGAAAGCCCACCCAAAGGAAAGCCCACCCCTCTTTTGTCACAGAACCCTGAGTCAGCCAACCCTAAAAGTGGGTACTCTGGATAGGGAGGAGGTGTGGCCAAGCCAAATGGGGAATATAGTGGCTCAGCACATCCCATAAGCAGCCTGCAATAGTGAGGCTTTACCCTCACCCAGCAAAAACATCAAGGGATGGTGCTGATACAAACACCCACAGGTGACGTGTCCTTGTCTCACTAGTGCAGGGGAGGGGGAGGACAAATCGACTTATTTTTACCAGAAGAATATTGAAAAGTTCCCTTCTCTCTAACAAAGGCTTGAATAGACACTTCCGGTTCCCTTGGCAACTGTGCTAAACAGCAGATTAAATAATAGCATTGGTTTCCTCTGCAAGCGGCTTGCTTTTGAGACAAGCAGGCTCAGCAGCATTTACAGGGAAAGGGCTTGGCATCGGATCCCCAAACATTTTCTTCTCACCGATTGGAATTGTGTATGTAGTTCGGAGGTAGGGAGATGTACACCAGCTACGGCAGTCCTTCCACAGGCAACACTCCCCCCCCCATTTCCTTCCATATGGGTTGGTCACGGGAAGGGAATTCCGGATCAGGTCCTCAGTATGTATAGTCCACATTTTTGCATTTTAGCTTTGTTCTGACTCCTTCTGAGGTTTACTCCACTCAGTGATGGTTTTGTACTCCCTCCTTCTTCCTCAGAAGAGTTCAGTGGCCAGATGTAAAGGCAAAAGTCCCAAGGTGTGAAGCTACTGGCCTGCAATGGGGCTGCACCATCACTTAGACGTCCTCTATGCCTTTTCCCTGCCCCAGTGGGGGCTCCTGCTTATTGCTGAGCTCAGGGACTGTGATTGGATGCTCTCCTAGGCTACATCTACACAGCTACCCTCGTCCGCAAACGCCTATGCAAATGAAGTGTGGATTAGCATATTGTTGCACTTCATTTGCATAATTAATTAGGAGCCGGTTTTGCGAAAGAGGTTTTTGCGCAAAAACCCCCTCTTGCGCAAGAGCCGTTCTTCCTGAAAAAATGAGGAAGAACGGCTCTTGCGCAAAAACATCTTGCACAAAAACAGCAGGCTTCATTAATGTGAACACACTACCTCGACTTAGAGCCCCAGGAAGCACTGGGGAGCAATTAGTTCAAATTACTCTGGGGAGTAGTTATTTCAAAATAGTGGCACTGGAGCATCCACACTAATGCTATTTTGAAATTACTGTTTCAAAATTAGTGTTACTCCCTGAGGAAAGCAGGAGTACTTTTTGAAATAAGCAGCCCGTGATTTCAAAATAATGGACTTAGTACAGGCAGTCCCCAAGTTACACAGATCCGACTTACGTCGGATCCGCAGTTACGAACGGGGCCCTTCCTCTCCCTGGTCTCCAGCAGACCAGGGAGAGGAAGCAAAGCGGCGGAACACGCGGGCAGCGGACAGGGCTGTCCGCTGCCCACGTGCTCCGCGGCTTGGCTCTGCTTTGCTCTGCTTTGCCCCCCCCCCAGTCTGCAGTCACTATCTTGTACGTAACCCGGGGACTGCCTGTAGTTAAATGTATGTTAAACCTGTATGTTGTTTGTTGACCAAAGATAGCGAATTATTAAGTTTGGTTTAGCAGTGTTCTTTTCTGATTTTCCAGTGAATTATGAATTTTTTAGGCCCTACATTTTTTCGTAGGCCCTAACCATTTTTGTAGGCCCTAGACACTGTGCCTATTGTGCCTACTGGCTAATCCAGCCCTGCCTGTCAATGGACAAAGAGGAGGTGAAATTCAGCCAATACCAGATATGAAGGCAACCCCTGCTATATAAAAACTATTCTTGAAGTAATTCATAGGCTGACTTGACACCATCAGGATGGGTCTGACTTGGGACTGGGAGCAGCTAGTTCATTACAATAGGTAATTTTCCCTTAGGTATGCTCATCTTCTTATCAGCTGTTGGAAGTGGGCCATGCTTACCTGGATTGAATTAGCCTCATTAGCATTGATGTAACACTCCCAGTTCGGTATGTACGTATGCCAGTGTTTCTCAACCTTTTTTTATAAAGTACCCCTTAAAAAAAAACATTATAAGTACCCCCAGAACCTACAAGTTTTCAGACACAGACGCTTAGTTTATTAATTCAATTTAAGGGGGATTGTTTCAAAATAAAGCCCTAGTGTAAACCAGGACATAGAGGGAAAAGGGAAAGTTTTGAGTCTTCTTACACTTCCTCATGGGTGCATAGTGCAAAAAATAATCTTGCTTTAAGGGAGGGCGTAGTCATACAACAAATCACCTAGTTAAAAAATTAAGAGGATTTTATTTTTTTGGCAAAAGGTATATTCTTAAAACTGCTGTTATTTATGAGAGTTCATTACTTTGCAAAGGGAAATAATCTTGCAATAACCTGCTTAGAAACCAGAAGTGCTATTTCTTTATTCCTCTGTTTTTTCACTCTATTTCACAGAATGATTCAATCCCTCAAGAGGACTTCACCCCAGAAGCCTACAGAGTATTCTTAAACAATCTGTGCCCTCGGCCTGAAATTGACAACATCTTTTCTGAGTTGTAAGAAAGGACACTTTTTTTCCCCCTCCTCCGCTGATTTTCTCTGGTTGCGATGGCAAAGTAGGTTATTTAGGCTACGGCATCTCAGCAACTGCCGAGAACAAATTTCCATGTCAAGCAGGATTGTTATTTAACTTAGGAGGTGAATGTAGATCAAAAGTTCCTTCCTCCAAGCTTTAGCCACTGTTTTTAATGGCCAGAGTTTTACAGTAATTCATTCCTGGAGGAATAGAACTACCAGCCCTTCTTTCTCAGGATGGATTATGATAGTTTCAGCTTCAGTGAGAAAAAAAAGAGGGGAAATGGTAAGCGTGAGAACAGGCATTAAATATATCAGCATATATAAACCACTTGAAGACTATTAAGAGCTGGAATAAAAGTACAATGGGTTTATAATCATACATGATTCAGTTAGAGGTCAAATACCTTAGTACGCTATAAATTAAATTTGCAAACAGCTACACTTCTGTCATTTTATATTTTCAGTTTCTTAAACACCTGAATGCCCTAGAACTTTAGCCAAACTATTTCACATCCTCTTTTTTTCTGGGATTGGATCAGTACACTTTCATGTTTCTTTGATGAACTTCACAGATCTTTCCGGTTTAAAAACCTGGCTTTGGTTTCACTGGCATTCCTATCTCAGAGGGATAGCTGTGTTAGTCTGTAACTTTAAAAATAACAAGCAGTCTTGTGGCACCTTGGAGTGGGGGGTTATACCCACAAAAGCTCATGACCTAATAAATTTGTGAGTCTTTAAAGTGCCAGGGGACTGCTCCTATGTACATATGTACAACCTTATCCACCATAGATCATTCATTACTTCTGTAGCAACCTGCTGTCTCACTACTATTGGAGACAAATACAACTAAGAATGTGCAGGACTCCTTGATTTCACTATCTGTTACACTGCTCACTCCACTGCTAAACTTGACTCTGGCAAGCAAGGAGACAGGGGCACATGGTGTTGTGTGTACTCCTCCAGGAGTCGCTGCACTTCTCAGCCCCAACAGGGCCTCTTCTCCTGTTGCCAGTGGAGCAGTAAAATGGGCAAAATGGAGGACAAGTGGATGAGATGTTATTTCTCAAGACCCATCCCAAGAGCCATCAAAGCCAAATAATGGGCTTCTGTTTGAAACTTGTGTGTCCTTGCTCTGTGAGTCCTTTTCTCTCCCCATTAGGTGAGTTTTTTCAGAAGTGCTCAGCTTTGGCCAAACTTTGAACTGAATGGGAAAACTACCATGGATTGCAACAAGAAAAGAATCAGGCCACCAATGCACGCTTTTGAAAAGGCCATGAATAGTATCACCTTGGGCATCAGTCCTGCCTTCCTGTTTCCAGATGGTGCTCGCTGGGGCCCTATGTGTGTTCAGACATCCATCTGCCCAAATCTGTTCCAAGATCATGGTCTGAGATTGCCAGCTCCTTGAGTTAATAGCTGTCTTTTTTTGCCTGTCTTGCAAAGTGCCTAGCATACTTTAAGGGCACTGTAGTGCAAGCAAATAATAGTATAATAAAGTCAGGGCTTCTGTACTTCATCAGGAAAATCATAATGGTTAGGTCTGGAACGCCAATGGAACCTAGGTAGCTGGCTCAGTATCACAGCATTTCATTTTCTGTCATTTAAAGAAATATGCCCAGTACAAAAATCTAGGATTAGATTTTTCAAAAGCTCTCAGCATTGGCCTGACTTACTTTCCTTGACATCAACAATGCTGAGCGCTCCAAATAACTGGTGTTCAATGAAAGTTTGCTATATGTAATTGTAAAATAAATTAGTTTGGAGAGTTAACAGAACATAATTTTTGTTATCTGGTCATTTGAATCATGTTTCTGTTTCCATGGGATGTTTCAAAGGATTGAACAAGAAGACAAGGGAAAATATTCTCATTACTTTCTTTTTTTAAAACATTGTGTTTCTCTAGCGGTGCCAAGAGCAGACCATACCTTGCTGTTGATCAGATGATGGAGTTTATAAATTATAAGCAACGTGATCCACGGTTAAATGAAATCCTTTATCCACCAATGAAGCAGGAGCAAGTTCAACAACTGATTGAGAAATATGAACCCAATAATAGTCTAGCAAAGAAAGGTCAGTAATTTTCGTATTCTTGTTGTATTCCGTTTCTGGTTTTTAACAATGAAGAAATTATATCAGAGCAACACACTGGAGCAGACATTGGTTCAGAGTTTAACCACATTTCCAAATGTTTGCTTCTAGACTTTACAGGCATATGAGACTCGATGTAATTAATATTCAAATGAATTTCATTGGAATGGATACTAAGAAGGATGAGATGGTTTCCCTGTTTACTTTTCAGTTTGTATAATAGATAGTTCAGAACAGTTCCTCTGATATGTAAATTTTGGCACAAGCAGCAATATGACAATAACTATTTTCTTGCATATGAACTGTTTGGGAAATGCAAAACATTATAAAACAATCAGTGGTACTGAATCTGAGAAAAATAATTCTATTGCTTGATAACAGTAATAACAATAATAGCACAGCTATCTCTTTGCTGATAGGGTTGTTATACAAGGCAGGCTTGGGGAATAGCTGAATGTGTTTTTTGTCATAATCACAGAAAAATTCTGTTTTGAAAATCTTGAATGTTTCTGGGCTCAGTTGGGCATTTTTTAGCCAAAAGCGCTGTGAAATCCTGTTCCTCTCCCAGCAGATAGACTTTTACTACCACCCTGAGTCCTAAAATAACATTGATTTTGTGCATACGTCTTGTTTTAGTCTGATTCATGTAGTCTCGGGTCTACACTCCTTTTCAATATGGTTAGACCATAACATTTCTATGGGTGTGGGCATGTCCTGAAAAACTGAGCTGATGTGAAAAATGTGTTTTGATTCAGAGATTTGGGACTTCGTCTAGGGTTGCCAGATGGTTTAACAAAAAATACCAAACACCTCTCCTCCCCCCCCCCCCCAAAAAAAAACACACGGAAAAATTCTGTTGAGGGGGAAAAAAAGGAGGGGGACCAAAGTTGATAAGCAAAAGTTGCACCACCCTCTCCAGTTTGGGGCAACACACTAACCCCCAATGCACCCACCCCTCCCCCTGAGTCAGCCCCCTCTAGTGCCCCCCCATCCCAACGCACTCCCCCCTCCCTCACG